CCTCCCGCACGGAGAGGTTTCGGCGCTAGCCTGGGCAGATCTGGTGTTTACCTCCCTCCCACTGCTCTGCGGCGGCTTCCTCCACAAAAAATAATAATAATAATAAAGCAGTTTTGCTCCAGAGGAATTCGCTGGGATTTATTGTGGGTTTTAAGCGCTGGGGGGAGAAGGATGGTTTATTACCTGTCTCGCCCTCCTCCTGGGGCAGAGGCTCTCTGAGCTGACCCTGCCTCTGGATACGCAGGCTAAGTCAGGCTCCTTCCTTACTTCATGAAAGTTTTCATTATCTGGGCTGCCTCCCAGCCAAACTGGGTGGGTATTTCCCTAGCAAAGATTAATAGAGCTGTTTGGAGCTCTGCAAGAAAAAGTGTAATTGCAAAGGGAATTATTGCCCTGCCCCGCATCACGGACAGCTCGACTCAGCTCGCCAGACCACCGAGCCTGCTGCTGGCATCTCCAGCCCTGCTTTCCAGGGTTTCCTGGATCTCCGAGGCCCCAGCATCCCAGCCCAGGTGTGGCACAGGCAGGAACCATCCAGGTCTCCACACTAAAATCCGCCTGTCTCCAAGGAGCAGCCCCATGCATGCAACCCAGGCTTTCCTCAATCGCTGATCTGAGGAACACAACCAGGCAGCGATCGCTGCAGGCATGTGGAGACGTAGCGATGATTTCGGCTGGGATAAATGGAGCCCAGACCTCCCTTGCATCCCACGCCCTGGGCACTGCGGCCGTGGATGCTGAGAAAGGCTGCTTGGTCCCGATTCAAACCCGCACGCCCACCCGAAGCCCGGGCAGGGCTGTGCTGGAGGAAAGCGAGTTCGGAGCCAGCACGGTTGCACAAGGACAAGAACAGACACAAAAATGACACTACAGCAACACACATCCAACACCCGACAGCGTTTCCCGGTGGAGCGAGAGCTCACTGCGTACCACATTGGAAAAATACCACTCTTCCCCTTGGCTCTCAAACAAGCGGCTACCAAGACTTCCACGAGCAGACCCCAAACACCCAACTTATTTGCCATCCTTCTAAGCCAATGCCATCCCCAAAGATACAAAAACTGGACCCGGACATCACTGGGAATCGATCCCTCCTTGGCCAAGGCCGGGGGTGATCCAGCTCCCCCCAGCAGTGCCTTGGGCAGATGCGGGATGCACAGCATCTCCCTGCTCCTGCAGCGCTGCCGGGGCGGGGGTGTTTGCCCACCGGCACTCTGTGCGAGCCCAGGATAAATATCCCCTCGTTAGCTTGGGAACTAATAAGGTGTGGCTGGAGGAGCGAGAAACAAGGTGATAAATTACCCCAGCGCAGTCCTATTGCTAATAGATAAAGGTTATTTTAATGTTTCCATTAAAAACTCCATTTTAAGGATTTATAACTTGGTTACAGCTGTTTGCTTGGGCTAAAGGTGGCGGCTAACCATCCGTTTCCGGCTTTCCTCGTTATTTAAGGAGAAAAAGTCGGCAATTAAGAGCTGTGCATGCGGAATAGCGGGTGCCACAAGCACGGGTGGCAATGGGGGGAATCGCTGTTCCCTGGGAGACAGAAGCAAGCATCCCAAAACAGCGGGGCCGTGCCAGGCATGTACCCTGCTGCCGCCCGTTTGCTCCCACGTGGAAAAATAAGATCTAAAATGCAGCTCATTCCCCCGTATTTACACGGCGTGAACTCCCCGGCACTTCAATGGGCTCCTCGGCAGGCACACGGCCCCGGCAGGAAATCAAGTAAATAGTGGGAAAACCACTCCACCCTATTTTTAGATAACAGGCAGGCTGCGTCGCCCCGGCCGCGGCCACCTCGGAGCCCGGCGCTGCGGAGGAGGCAGGAGTGGAGGCAGGGAGCGAAACCTGTGGGGCAGGTTCAAAGCCCCCGGGGAGGGTTTCCAAACCCTAAAGTCACTGAAGGGGCCAGGGGAGCACCCCGAGGGGGACACTCACTGCAGAGCTGCTGTGGCACTTACCCTCAGCGCCCACTGAGCTGCCCGGAAAGGTCTTTTTCCCACGTGCTTTTAGCCAATATTGGGCATTTTTTAAAAGGGCCCGATAAGAGAA